CCCCCCCCCCCCCATCCTCTTTGTTCGTCCCCGTGATCGGTGGATTCGACCAATCAATTCAACCCCCACACCACCACCATCGTGGAACTGGACGAATAACAAAGTGCTGGAGGCGCACGCGTCTGGAACGGCTGTCGTCGTGCCGAGAGCGCAAGGCTTCATCGACACGGTAAACCACGAGGTGCGATATCGTCGCCATGCTGTTTATTTGTTGTTCTTCTTACGTTGGTTGTGTTTATTGTTGTAATTCTAGCGTTACCTTCTTTCGTGAACAAGCGCAAGGACAACACAATGCTCCTCCCATGTGGCTTCCCTTCTCTATCTGCCCCCCCCCCCTCCTGTTTTTCACGGCCAAGAACATCCGCCTTTCGGGTGATCTTTTCCGAAGTCTTGATTGTGTCGCCAAGGAGTTGCGCCATTCCACGTGCTTCGATGTACAGTATCGTGTACCACAAAACAAGATTTGCTACTGCGTCCCAAGCGTGTTGGGTTATCTGTCCCGTTTTTTTGGCGGAGATGTTATGTCTATTGCCTCGGTTCTTGCTGTGGGGTAACACTCGCCCCTGGTCGGATCGCTTTGTTCACCAGGAGGACGGCTTCCTTTTCGACGGCCATCGGCTAGCGGAAGGAGCGGCGTTTCTAGCTCGCCTCCGCGATGATCGCGACTTGTGCGCGAGCATGGGAGAACGGGGCCGGCAGAAGGTTTGTTTTGCTCAACGAAACGTTGCACGTTTACCCGTCGTATCCATATGCACGGTGTGCTCGATTCAAGGGGTTTGGCCACAAGTACACGCCTGGTGGTTTCAGGTGTTTTCCGTGTGCGTCGTTCAATCTCGAGCGATGTATGCTCGCTCGCTGGTGAGCGTTGCCATTTGAACCATCCCAGTTGTTGCCGTGGCCTTAGGCTGTGGCGATAAACAAATGCCCTGAGAGGAGCGCTTCAGCGTCACTCGCCAACGATCTCCACACACCCTTTTGAGGTGTAGGTACTTGACAGTTCCCAACCCCCCGCAGAGGTGCAACCGGAAACTAGAGATGCCTAAATTGTTTTCCACGGGGAAATTTTTCTGCTTCAACAAGTTTTGCGGTCCTGGGACACGAGGAAGTGTGTCTGAAGGTCACGGCAGGCCCCAGACACATGTACACTTCTGGCAGTACGTTCTTGGAGCAGCACTTCTGCCATCAGACAATGGTGTTGTTCGTGATTCCTGAGCTGCCCCACGTAAAAGCTGTTTGTAGCGACACGGCGTGACAGCAACCGAGAGTCGAGCTACCGCAGCAAAGCCTTGTCGACCACTGCTTTGCTGCTGAATGTGTTCCATGTTGGCGCCATCTATCGGTCATGCAGGCGTTTCGAGCACGCGGTGGAAACAGCATCACAGACTGTCTCTGAGCACACGAAGCGGCTTTTCTGTGTGTGCCCAGAGGTAGTGGTAGCTGGTCGTGCTGCGCTTTGTGCCTTTTGGTTTATGAAGTTTTCCGTATTTGATGCTTTTTGCGTGTTGCGTCTGCGATACAGGTGCAAATGCAGTCTCCGGAGATGGTGTCGAAACACGTCCTGGAGTGGTACCGAAGGGCCCGCGCAAGCACGAAGGTATGGAACAAACGGGGTCTTGCTGTCCGATCTATTTAGACAACAGATCTCAGGTAGATAGCCGTGAACCAAGGCGATGATAAACTAGAGCGTACGGCAGTTGGTGTGGCGCAGCCAAGCATTCCGGCAGTCTTATGGGTATCCTAGCCCTGCTCAAACTGTTCTATGGAGTATGCCCGCACTTTTCACCCCTCTTGCATACTCTCAGTCGGACGTTGATGACTCCGATGAGTCCCCGTGCTGAACCAAGTTCGTCGCAGGACCATATGCGTTGGTGGTTCCCAAGTATCCGGACCCAAAGGGTTCACGGAATGCCTCAGACAGTATGCAGCGAGTCTGAGACCCGAGATCTACTCCGATGGCATTTCGCGAAGAGAAAAAACAAGTTCACATGATTCGGCGCGTGATGTCGAGCTGTGCTACTCATGATGCAAAATGCCTTTGGGTAAAACCTCGAGCTCATGCTCCGATTGTTTTCGCTTCCCGTGTGATTGTGGCAGGGCCAAAAGATTACGACCAGCTTGGCGACGGTGGCCGCGGAGCAGCTTTCCTCGCTTGTCAAGGTGCTCATGGGCGTGGGGATCTGCTTATTAATCCTGCTGGTCGTCGCCTTGTGGTTCGCAGTGGAGGCGGTGCAGGTGCTCGGCGGGGTGAGTGAGCACTCTTGCCGTCGTCGTCGTCGTCGTCGTCGTCGTCATCGTCGTCAACGTCGTCGTCGTTGTTACTCTGCTGTCGTTGTGGTAACGCCGTCCTGCTTTCATTTGCTCGACGTTTGGCAGAGTGTCGTTCGCTACTGCCACAACGCCAGGAACGTCTTGGGTAACTCGTCGTTCTTCAACAAGGTCTCCAATTCCTACAAGGTGCCGTATTGGAATTTTTGTCTCTGAGAATCTTCTGACGTTTTTCGCGGCTCTTGCGTTATTGAAGTGTCATATGGAGTACAGTGAACCGATCTAATTTTGTTGTTGTTTGTTTGGGATTGCTTCATTACATTGTTTTTTCGGTTTCAATGAGACATGCGGAACGCACATCTTCTCGCGAGCTACACTGACTGCGAGGCGCGACGTTAAGGTACGAACCCGTCTCTCCCCATAAAGGACTCCAGCAGGGGGACTGTGACTGCAAACGAAGGAGTCCCGAAACTGACGAAGTCCTCAAAAAGGTACACACCATGCTACAACACGCACATCGAGGCCATTTCCTGGACGACTACTGAACCGTACAGGTCGACTATTTCTTTCCCATACGGTCCCTTCCCTCGGTTGTCTCGTTGCTGTTCCGCTGTCGTCCTCGAGTCGTCCTCGAGTCGTCCTCGAGTTTCCGCGACGCCGGTCTCGAGTCCTCTACTTTGTTCCGAGCGTACATCTTGTATACATCCGACCACCTCTCTGAATTACTCATGTTCTGGAATGTCTCCGTCTGATGCTGAAGCCGTCGCTTCTCCCTTCCGCACGGAGGCCAGCGCTATAACTCCAGTACTCTCACTGTTCTACCGCAAGAACGGTACGAAGCCACCGGTGCGGAATCAGGTTACGTCGCATGACACGACAACAACTCCACTACAAGAGCAAACGCACCGCCGCTTGGTCTCGCGCCTGACTGCGGTCCGGTAACTTCGTGTCGCGTGCAACCCCGAACGTTCCCTTTTCTGCTTTTGATCGGTCTTGTGCCCTCTAAACCTCAGCTCGACAAGGTGCGCTCTACGATGATGGCCCAACTTTGTCTGGGCCAGCCCTCTGCGGCTCCTGTTGGCCGCGTTCTCTGTCCCTCCCGAAATACCATAGGTTGCTTGAGATATCACACCCCCTGGACCGATTTTCATAGATCGATTTCTTGGCAGGAAAGCAGTGGCGGTGCCGGAAAATGGCGGCATTGGAACTGTCTCGTCGAGAGCTTTCCGAAAATGGATCTTTTGATTTCGACATCCTCTTCGTGGAAAACTAAAGGTTTGAAATTCGGTCCGGGGGTGTCGTTTCTCACGCAACCTATTGTAGCCCCCCCGTCCGCTACACAGGAGGGCCTGTGCCCCTGTTTCGTCGGTTCCATAGTTGAAGAAAATCGGCAGCCTTGGGCCTCGTTCAGCCCGCTCCAATGGACCGCTTCCCGCCTCCGCGCCCTCCCTCGTTGCCGTGGGCGACGCTATGGGTACAACCTCTGCCTCCGGTTGAGCCCCCACCTCCGTCTCCGCCCCCGCCGGCACCGGAGCTCCCGCTTCCGTCTTGCCTTCCACGCTCACCGGTGGACGGAGTTTCGGGTGATCCTTGACCTGCGCGCGTTGGGTTCTTGATGTGGTGGTATGCGCACTTCTGATCATGGCAGCCAAACGAAGAGTTGAAGGTGTAGCAGTAGCCCCCTGGGCACAGGGAACCTTGTTTTTTCGGACGTGAACCCCCGGGATCGCTTTAGAAGCTGGTCCCCGGCCCGTACCGGACGGCCCTGCCAACCCCTCCCGTGCCAATGATGTGAGAGATTTTCTTCCACTCGATGGTGATCACCGACGGGAACTCCTCGACATTGTCTGAAGGCGCGAAGTAGGTAGCCTTCAGAGTGATAGCGGCGTTGAACCACCTCAACGCGAAAACTGTGATGCCGTCGTCGATGAAACCCGCAAACCGGGACTATGCCACGTCGTTTCGCATCTGGCGGCGGTGCTCGCGACAGTGCTCGAGAACCATCTCCTACTCAAGGTCGAAAAGGTCCTCGAGGATGCCGTAGGCAGAACCATGCCACCAACGGTCTCGCTGGCTGCTTCGCGTGCTCCTACCGCCCCCAGTACTGACGCCGGCAAGACCGCTACAAAGCAGCGGGCCCTTCGTCGGGTGAAACCGTGGACAGTTCCGTGGACGGCCTCCGGCGGTGGAAAACTTTCGCAGCCAGAATGGCAGGCCATGCTCTGTCGCTCGACACGGTGTCAAATTTCCGGGTCGAACCTTACTCTTGGGGGATGGTCGAGGCTCGACAGTTCCCCAAGGGTAATCATCGACCCGGAAGTTTGATATCGTGTCGAGCGACTCCGCTACGCTCTTGTAACTAGAACGCTGTTATGGAGCATGGCTTGCCACTCTGGCTGCGAAATTTACACCATCGCCGGAGGCCGGAGGCCTTCCCCATACATATCGACGGTTTCACTCGACGAAGGGCCCGCTGCTTTGCGGCGAAGTTAACGGCGTCGGTACTGGGGGCGCTAGGAGCACGCAAAGCAGCCAGCGAGACCGTTGGTGGCGCGGTTGTGCCCACGAGCTAGCTGCACCTCCCCCGCGAGCCGTTTCCGCATTCTTGCGTGGCGCATAGGTCTTGAGGCGCTACGGGTCATTGTTGGTACTTGGGAACTGCTAGTTGTTTTTTCCGCTGCTCAAACTTTACTACCCATGTGACAAGGCGCAGACATTTCTTAGAAGCGCTAAGCGGGGGGTGTACTCATACTCATAGTCGTGCATGCCGTAGTCGTTAGACCATTGTCCTCGCATCCCTACAAAACCGGGACGGAGCACGCCGGGTTCTCACCGGACCAGGCTCTCACATCACCAAGCGCGAAGCGCAGTGAGATATTCGGCGAGTCGCATGAAGGGTGCGCTGCATCCTGCTAAGGGTGTTCGGCATCTTGTGCTTACTTCCTTGCGTACGGATGACAGC